ACAAAGTGAAACATACGCTGCCGATTAATATTAAGATAAACACACGTTTAATACTGTATTTACAAAAATATTGTAACATACCACGAAACAATGGTAAAAGCTGAAAATTTCTGATAATGTCGGCTTTTTTATAGCTAGGTCCAACATGTTGACGTCCAGACGCGAAGACAGCTGGTACGGCAGTTTTACCTGCCACACCAGCCAACCTCACCTTGCCGGCTAGCAAGTTACTTTTTCACGCCTCTTTTAAAGGCTGTCAGTATTATTGACGAAACAGGGAAACGACAGCATGGGTTTCGTCTAATTTAATCACCGTTTCGTAGTAAGGCTTACTATGTTTATATCGCTGTTAAGTTGATTATAATGACACTGGCAATATGTGGCCTTATTTATCTTAAGCTAAACAGTGTAGTAATGCTATAAAAGTATACGGCACATTTTTTACAAAAAACTTCGTCATTCAAGATATTAAGGTAAAATTGTTAACTACGATAATTATAGCTTTAGCACGAACCATTATCGAATTTGTATAGTTGAATTCGATCTATTTTATACGTTAAATGTGTACCGACTTTAGTTCTCGTTACGTCCGTTGTGGCGCCGCTATTAAAGTTTCCACACAAAATTTGAGAATGACATTTCGCATTCGCAAACTATTCGAGTTCGATATTGGTTCGTGCTAAGGCTTCTGATTTTAAATACACGTTCATTTTGCATGTGTCATAAAGACTTACAATAAGCAAAAAACAATTATTTCTGCTTGCTTGATGCATGCCAATGTCATTAAAACCACGCCAGTTATTTTGCTACACTTCCTCAATGAATCATTTGACACATATTTGTACACTGATATAGTATAGACATTAAAACAAAAATAACATTTCTATATTGCCAAAATGGATGATTGTATATTATGTTGGCCATCTCTTAGTAATAATTACCGTAAAGAAGACACAGCATGTCAGATTATCAAAAAGTGTTAGTATGTCAGAAACGATTTTGATCTTTATGCCAACCCGCATTAGGTTAAAAATAAATGGGGAAATTGGAGTTTTGGATAACCTGACTCGGTGTCTATCTTGCACTCGGATACTGGGCAGTGAGGAACACAATGTCATACTCATCGATAACGTCGTTATAGTATCGACTCCGATAAATGAATCGTCTAATTCAACGAGTCTGGAGATCTGTAACCGGGGGTATGCAACAAAAAAAATGTATCTTTTTCAATAATAACATGAGCCAAAAACATGCTTCCAATGTCATTATCTACTTCAATAAGTGATATAATAACTATGATCATTCTCAGCAAAAAAAAATTAAATCGACAGCAAAATTTGCCTACTCATCTTAAACGAATTATGTTTGTTTTGCATTTGGATTTTTTTTCGAAATATAAGTACATACTTTTTCTTCATTAACCGTCTCGATTCGATTTTATTTCTCCAATGAATAACACCAAGGGTATTAGATTTTAATCCATGGAGCAACTACATCACCTATTGGGCATTAACCTGGTTAGGATATGCTTTTGAGTTAATAATGTGATGGATGATGTGACATAGTAGCGACAAGGAGAAAACCGAATATAGGTATAGTAAAAAATAACTTGTACTGCGCATATTGTAAAAACTTTGTGTTCTCATCAAACCGCATCAACATAATGACCAAAGACGGCTTGATATGATTGATAAACATATTATAATTACATCTGCTCTCGTAACACAACTTGATAAATACTCCAAAAACGGTAATAAAGCCGCCATATTTTAATTGGACATAACAGAGGCACCGAGGTTTCCCATACTGGTTATGGTCAGTAAAGGGAATTATTCATAGATATCAGACTACTTTAGGAATAATTCCTTATACTGTGCCAGAAGTCAGTCATAGACATCACTTGTTATGTTAAATTGAAATCTCCTAACTTTATAAGCCGCCGAAAAGAGTGTTTTATTAAAGAAATGTTCATGCCTTAGAAGGACTAGCAACACGCAGCTGCTACGTAAATAGGATTTATAATTTAGGACGAATTTATATTGTATTAACCATTAGTATTTACGCATACACGAAATGATGGTTAGACACGAATGGATATAAATAAATCTATATATTAGGTACTAACTTTTAAATAATGACATAAATGAAACTCTTTTCACTATAAATAAAAACTCAATTATGACTTTGTCGCATAAAAACCAAGATTGCATAAGTAAATATAGTTATTTTCTAAAATGAAAATATATCTGCTATATCAAGGAGGAAGGTACTTAATTTCTACTTCCGTAGAGTTCAAAATCAAATATTATGACATTTATTTAGAAACTAAAACTATGAAACATATTTACATACTTAAAACGGAACTGGCAAGTACTGAAGTAACGTAATACTGTATACATAAATACATATAAATTATAAAACACGAATGAAACAATTACACTACAACATATTTACACTTGTTAAACCATTACATGCTAATGCAGAACGAATATACACTCGGGGACAAAGAAATCGAACCATCTTTTCAAGATGTTTTATTTCAGTTCTAAATATTAGTTGAATAATGATATCTGTTTAAAAAATATTATAAAAGTTACTATAAAAAAAAAACTTGTTGAATAAAATGGACACGATTTCTTCAACCGCTAGCATTTTCTCCTTGGACTATTTCGTAAGGGCCTTTCTTTAACCAAAGACACTAGAATGGACTAGTTCACATAGGCCTCTGGAATTTACACCCGAACACATCATAGCCGTTAAAATTAATATATTACAACCGATCGACGTTAATCTCATTCATTTACAGAAAATATAATAAAACGAAATGCCTAATAATTACTCAGTCGCGTCCTTGGATCGTGGTTGCGTCCAACGTTAAACATATTAAATAGTATATTTTTAAGTGATGCTAAACTTTTGTTTATCGACAGTGATCGTTAGAGATAGAAGCTGCCGTTCAAAAACGGATTTATTTAGCTGTTGAAAATTTAAAAAGTTATTTTAACTTCATTTATGCTGTTGTTAATTAATAAGGGTGATTACGAAAATTCACGTCACCAGTTCTGTGGCTCCGCTGTGGCGTGAGGTATTTCGTATCAAGATTTTGGCGCGAATTAATGGAACGAGCATTTAAATCGATCTATAGACTATGACGTCATACGCGATTTGAGGGATAAGAAGACTTTTCGGCTCAGTGTTGCCACCTAGCGCCCGTCTTTCTTGAACACCCTCATTTACAGTATTTCTTTGAAGTAAACATTTTCTAAATAGACTTTAGTTCGTAGTGAATTATAAAAAAGGTTTTCGTGATTACAGCTTTGATATCTACATCTAACGGTCAAGGTCTTAGGTTCAGCGTAGACCAAAGACGCAAAAGCGATTCCCGATGATACTCCAATATTAATGTCTATTGCCACATTAATAAGGTCGATAATAGTTTGAAGGTTGTGTTTCAATGTTTACTCAATCGTTATTCACTTTGTAAACATGACTATAGGTTCAATTTTAAAGTATTAACAGAATAAGGTGTTGCTTTTAACTTCACTTGGTCTACGGCGATTCTTAGAGATAACTAGACATAATTTCTTTTCAAAGTTCGTCGCATATATGGACGATTGGCACTAGCCTTGATAATATTGCTTCAATTTTTACATAAAACACATTGCGACACTGCCTCTGACTCACACGCACGCTTTTGTATATAATGTACGCTATTTTGTCGAATATAATTATTTAAATAACTATACACTCATATTTTCATCTAAACATCAAACAATTCTCTATAAAATGGCCAATATTTAGCTAAACTTATTTTAGATACACGCGGAGGATTTCCTCCTGCCAATTTGCAATTTATGCCATTTTAATAGCAACGCACGTCTTTCGTCTCAATTTGACAAATGTATACTTTCGATATAAGTACATTAGCGATTAAAAATATGTATAAAAGGTTGACGTAATAATTAGAGCTGTGGTTAACAGTCACTTTTTAACCGGTATGAAGATCGTTACACTAATTTGTTATCTGTCATCATGACGTCACACTGACGTAGCCAATCAAATCGCGGCTTACACTACACTGCCCGCATGCCGCTTACGATTTCAAACAAAAATTAAGTAATGCGTACTCTAATGGGAGTGTTTGGTTTGCTGGTATACTCGAGACATTTACATCTTACTCATCCCGGTCGCATTATCATAATGTTTACATTGTTGTTCGTATTTAATATTTGTAAACTTGACAACAGACTCTCCTTTTTTATAGTGTGATAAGGAGTACCTGCTGTCAAAATGGCAAATAGGATATACGAATAACCATGTGAAGTACCGGAGTTTACGAATATCATCGACACAGTTCGTATTACGTCAAACGTTGACATATGAAAGTCTCTGAGGGTAGTTTTGATCACGCACTTATCTAATACAGGTAATTTGTTAGCAAACTTACGGAGTTTACGAATATCATCGACACAGTTCGTATTACGTCAAATGTTGACATATGACAGTCTCTGAGGGTAGTTTTGAACACGCGCGCTTATCAATGATACGGGTAATTTATTAGCAAACTTACAGATTTTACGAATATCATCGATACAGTTCGTATTACGTCAAACGTTGACATATGAAAGTCTCTGAGAGCAGTTTTGATCGCGCGCTTATCAATAATACGGGTAATTTATTAGCAAACTTACTGATCTTACGAATATCATCGACACAGTTCGTGTTACGTCAAACGTTGACATATGAAAGTCTCTGAGGGTAGTTTTGATCACGCACTTATCTAATACAGGTAATTTGTTAGCAAACTTACGCCCCCTTATTAATAAACAAGGAATTAGCTTAGACTAGTTACGCCGTGTTATGTTCATGTCACTCAAATGTCATTTGTTATTCGAAAGACAGAGGCAAAACATGGAGTAACTAATCCAAGCGTAGTCTTCGTTTATTAATAAGGGGGACGGAGTTTACGAATATCATCGACACAGTTCGTATTACGTCAAACGTTGACATATGAAAGTCTCTGAAGGTAGTTTTGATCACGCGCGCTTATCGAATATGGGTAGTTTAGAGCTGACAGCGCCTTCGCACACTAGCAGCGTCCTCCGCGGATCCGGGTTCGTGCTCCGGCGTGAATCGGCCAACTTTTTCATTCGCCACGAGCGTTCGCAGGCGAATTCGCCGCCGCCCTTCCGCTCGAAATAGTCGACTATGCGAGCGATCTGAGCGGAGCGGCTCGGTAAACGATCGTCGCAGTAGAGGCTATCGGAGCCGGCGAGCGAAGCGGCGTCTTCGGAACTGTCCGTGTAGACGCTCGACCGGTAGGTGGCGCGGCAATCGGCGCATACTGGGAACAGGAAACGGAAATATTACAAGGTGTAGAGATTTTTTGCAGTCTGCATAGCTAAGAAAGTTTTCAGTTTATACAGGGCGTCCCACGGCATTGTCACACGGAGGGAAAGTATATTAAATATTGAAGATAGTATATTTTATTGCAAGAAGAAATCATTTTATTTTTAATAACAAGTAGAACTGGATTCACTGATTTTTTTTAAATTGTCTACAACAACCGAAATATGAAAAAAAAAACTCATGTATTTTTGACAACCGTCGACAGGGTAAATTATAAGTATTTTTTTTAATTAACATAGCATTTTTAATGAAAGGAAGATCATGATTTTTTTTATTACAAATAAAATGATGTCTGCTTTCAGTAAAATATACTATCTTTTATGTTTAATATACTTTCCCTCCGTGTGACAATGCCGTGGGACGCCATGACGATAATGTCATATTAAAGGACAATGGTGTAGATTATGGCATGATTCTCTAAACCTTAAATGAAATTTGACAACAGTGTATCCTTCTCAATCTCTATACAGAATGAAAGGGAGAGTTGGTTTTAAATTTAGTTTTAAGTTTAGAGAATCTTGCCAGAATTGAAATCAATGTGAGACTAGCGTAGACAAAGTGTGTTCGATAAATATCAATTTTATAGGTTTTTTTTGTTTAACGAATTACTGCCACTGAATAGTTTTACCGTAAAAATATAGCGGTTACTGCTTATCTTTCACTTCAACTCTCTTTATTATCACCTGATTATAAAAAACCAAGATTGGCCGAGGTTTTGTTAAAGCATCTGTTTAAATTGCGTCAAATTATCCACACTAAGTAAAAATTCTTATTCATCTCGAAACAGATAAGAGAAGTCGGTTTTATTAGCTTGCTGCGACCAGCCGAGTTGCGTTTACACGGCATACCGCGCTGGCTGCAATGACCTTCTCCATTTGGCAATGAGTTCATTTTGGTTGCAAATACACCCTCACACACGCACACACACACCCTCACACACGCACACACACATACAAACTCACACACACGCACATACATCACACGCACGCACATACACACACACACACTCATACACCCTCACACACACACATACACCCTCTCACACACACACATATACACGCTCACACACACATACACACATACACACGCTCACACACACATACACCCTCACACACACACACACACACCCTCACACACACACGCACATACATCACACGCACGCACATACATCATACGCACGCACATACACACACACACTCATACACCCTTACACACACACATACACCCTCTCTCTCACACACACACACACACACACATATGCACGCTCATACACACAGACATACACACACTCATACACGCTCACACACACATACACCACATTCACCCAGCTCACCGTTGTACGCGTCTCGGCCGCACACACGCGCCCGCAGCTCGTCCAGAGAGCGGCAGCACAGCTCCGAGCACGCGACGGAGAATATGCCGCTCTCGCACGACGCACGGCGACGTGGCCTGTACACATAAACATATCACTTTTAGCCCATCAATAGTCTAAAGATTGCATTATAACTTTAGTACTAACTATCGCCACTTTAGAGCCCGCGCTGCGTTAAGCAGGCGTCCGCTCGGCGGTTTTGTTACATGTAATTTCATAGAGCAGCGCTGCGTGAGACGGGATTCACGATGACATAAAAACTGCACGCGGAGCGGACGCCCGCTCCTTGCTCCCGCTTAAAGCAGCACCGATACGCACACATGCATTATTTTTTTGGTTATATTGTTATCAAAAGCGTTGTACAATGAATACAATTTCAATAAAGATATTTTTTTGACTCTGAAAATCAAGTGTCAATTTATTAAACTATTTAATTTTGTATTATGTAAGAGGGGTTTTTACCAATTTGGAGACGCAGGCCTTCTTCGTGATCATCATTGTGCGGTGAAGGAAGCTCCAGGCACCATGGTACAAAATCTTGTACACAGTTATAACAATGGAACACTCACCTATCCGGCGATCACCTTCTACTCTGCACTAGCGGTGCTGGTAACGAAGCAGAGCGTGGCTGATCTTCATCATCATGCGGTGAAGGCAGCTTCTAACACGAAGCCGGTGGTTCCAGAATCTTGTGAACGGTAATAAGATCCTACTGTTTCATTAAACACTCACCTATCAGGCGATCCCCTTCTACTCTGCATCGGCAATGCTGGTAACAAAGCACAGTGTGGTTTGTCTTCATCATCTAGCGGTGAAGGAAGCTTCAAACACGAAGCCGGTGGCTCCAGAATCTTGTGAACGGTAATAAGATCCTACTGTTTCATTAAACACTCACCTATCAGGCGATCCCCAATGCTGGTAACAAAGCACAGCGTGGCTCATCTTCGTCATCAGGCGGTGAAGGAATCTCCAGACACGAAGCCGGTGGTTCCAGAATCTTGTGAATGGTAATAAGATCCTACAGTTTCATCAAACACTCACATATGCGGCGATCCTCTCCTACTCTGCATCGGCGATGCTAGTAATAAAGCACAGCGTGGCTTATCTTCGTCACAGTGGGTGAAGGACGCTCCAGACACGAAGCCGGCGGTGCCAGAATCTTGTGCATGTTAATAAAATCTGCTGTTTCATTAAACACTCACCTATCAGGCGATCCCCTTCTACTCTGCACCGGCGATGCTGGTAACGAAGCACAGCGTGGCTCGTCTTCATCATCATGCGGTGAAGGAAGCTCAAGACACGAAGCCGGTGGTTCCAGGATCTTGTGAACGCCTCGGAACGTGTGCAGCGGCCGACGGACTGAAGGCGCCGCGGCTAACGCGTGTGTGTCGCGTAGTAACATCGTGTGTGCCAGACGACGCAAACGGAGCGAAGATATGGAAGCACCGCAACCCCCTTCTGATACCCATTCCAGTTCGGATAGGGACCGGCGGTGGACTAAACACACAAACATATTTAATACAGTGAAACCTGGTTAATTGGGATCTCAAGGGACCAAGATATATGTACCAATTATTGAGGGTATCCAATAATCCAGTTTTCCAATTAAACAGTTTTAAAATTATAGTTGTCTCATTTACAGAGGCCCCCGCTTACAGAGGTGGAAATGTGCCGTTATTCCTTTTTTATAGTACTGACAAACAAAGCATGCGCGGAAGACGACGCGAAATATGTAAACAAACATGTCAAAACGTGTTACAACCTGATTAATTAGTCTCATTTATACAGGTAATTGAGCTACAGTCTCAATTATAGAGGTAAACATCGAAAGAGTCTTAGAATTCAAATTTTATTTAACCAGGTTCAAAAAGTCCCATTAACAGAGGTAATTTAATGAAAAAGAACCGGGAACCTCATTGCGACTCTCAATAATAGAGGTTACTCACTTATCCAGGTCCCACTTAACCAGGTTTCACTGTATAAACTAAATTCCCAGCACATAACTCGACATAATAAGCAAGAGATCAAAAACTTGGGAAAGAGTGTCTTTGGCGCTTTAAAGCCTAGCGCGCAAGACAGTGCGCATTCATTACGAATATTATAACCACCTATAATACCGACACTTTAAAACCGAACGCGTAGAGTGCGGTTCAAACTTATTAGCGGCTGTGAAATTAGTGCAAGTCGCGGCGCAGTAGACGAACTGAAATAATATAAATATGTTGCGCTCGCTGCTAATTTCGCAACCAACCAACATAAGTCGCGTCAACATAACGTAATGTCGGGTAGCATCGTATGTGCCAGGCGACGCAAACAGAGAGCAATTTTATTTCGTCCACGCAATTTTCTTATTTTTTTTCCTCAGAACCTTTTACAATGTATTGAATATAGTGAAATAGGTAAATTCTTCATCAAGTTATGTTATGTTTAAACCCAAACGAACTAGGGATTGTTATTTAAATGACGTCATTGTCAAAATTATACCTGCTACGGACATTCTTGGTATTTTGAGATTTGCATCATTATACCTTACTATAACAAATTTTCGAATAAAAGACCTCCATATGATACTAAGCATTCCAAGCTTAATATGAGTCAAAAAATAAACAGATTTATTAAAAATTTACTAGGAAAAAGTTTCGCTCGGTATTAGATAGGATTCGAACCTGCGCCTTTCGCTAGCACTTAACCAACTATACTACCGAGACCTGTCGAAATTCATGTAGTATTGTATGGCAGCGCCATCTCGTCACACTGTCAAACAAAAGCTTCACGAACGGAAGGTCTAAGTAGCAAAACGTCCAACAGCGCGAAACGTCTTCTCGTCACACTGTCAAACAAAAGCTTCACGAACGGAAGGTCTAAGTAGCAAAACGTCCAACAGCGCGAAACGTCTAATGATGAGCAGTAGGGCTACCGTTTTTTGTCTAATGAGCAGTAGGGCTACCGTTTTTTATCTCACCAGATGGCGCCACCTGGACATATCGAAATTCATCTAGTATTGTATGGCAGCGCCATCTCGTCACACTGTCAAACAAAAGCTTCACGAACGGAAGGTCTAAGTAGCAAAACATCCAACAGCGCGACGACCGTTTTTTGTCTCACCAGATGGCGCCACTGTAGAGTGAGGTCTGATGTGTAGCATTTAAAGTTAGTTCATACGAGCGTTAAATCCAAGTTTACATTTAAATCATATTATAATACTAAAGAACCGTATCGTAATCGGCCATGCCAAAGTCAAATATTCACAATATCATTTTAATTAGAAATAAACTCGCATAGTCAACCCACAGGCAATAACATTTGACATTTCAGAGACCTCACGCTACACAAGCGCTTCTAGCGGTTGATTAATACGCCCTCTAGCAAAACGTCCAACACTCAAATAGGCTGTATAGCAGATCGTCTATTTAGGACATCGTAACATTGTCAAAATGTCCGGATACTCTCAGGCACACAAATGTAATGAAATTAAAATTATACTTTATTCAAATTTAATTATTGATAGATCTTTTGAAATATCGAATATTTTTTTAAATAGTGTCGGACGCAAACTCACGCACATTCGTCTATTGTGCGTAATTTTCAAACAGTCGTGTTTAAAAATTCTCGCTATATCTACTTATACACACCTACCTTACTGCCACGACATAACGCGTTAATTGGAACAAATGTGTTAATTATATTTTCATTTTTTAATCATTTAGCTGTTAGATGTTTATATGTAAGAAAATGTAATAAATAATAATATCTCTCTTTCTGTTTTATATGCTTTTCTGTCTGTCTTTTCTTTTCCCTCTTTGGGTGCAAATTTTTTTACACCTCTGTTTTTTTCTTTCATTAGCGCTTTTCTATTCAATATCTTATTTCTATTACATTACTTTTTTGACGTGACAACGTCTTAAATTAGGTTGCGGCTGGGAGTCACTTATGAAAAAGTGTAACGCTCGGTAACGTTACGATGAGTCTCTCGTGTTAAGTTTAAGTTTACATGTACAATGTTTTAGTAAACAAAATATATTTCTATAGTTAAAATTTGTGCAATTCTTATTTTCATTCAATTCCTTGTTCCTATTGTGCAATTTAATTATATTCATATCAATAAATATTCTACCGAGAAAAAGACGTTGTCACGTAAAATCTTCGCCCGTAAAACCGACTTTACAGGCAACCATTTTTTATTACATTTTCTTATTTCTTTGCTCCTATTGTTTCACGTACATTCATTATACCTACTATAATTTCTTAATCACTTACATATACAGTGGAAACCGCGTCATATCCGGTTTCCGGTTTAAGCGCCATCTTTTCGCATCATAGGTAACCCACAATAGCTACAGTATATTTTGTTTTGGTGGAACAAGAAAAATGGTTAGACGTTATAGCCGATGAATATCGATATGAACTTTATCAATATTCATAGGCTATAAGTCGTTTTAAGCGGTATTTCGCTATATCCGGTGTTGTTAGAGGCGGTTTTTTAGTTAAGGGTTTACATAGGGTTTCGGTCGGGACCTTGCCAATTGGTCGTAATAACCGACATGTCGTTATAAACGATGTCATTATATTCGGCTTTGACTGTATATGAATAGAATGTATGTACGTACGCGATCTCGAGTGCGGACGGGCACGCCTCCACGCGGTGAGGCCGGGGCACGAGCGCGGGCCAGACGCGTCCGCTTCTTCGCCGCTGCAAAGGAAATGTTATCATCATCTCTTATCTATTAGACAAGTCCGTCCGTCCGTCCGTGGTGCTGTTTCAGCGGCCAAACCGTAAGAGATAGATAAAGAGAATATTTAAGTTATAAGTTAAGAATAGTCTGATAAGACTACAAACCGGATTTGAGTAACGTAGCACTTCCGGTTTTCGAGAAATCACGAATTTCAAACGAAACCACACAAAATCTCCGAAGTTCTCAATTAATTAAATACATTTTTTTTAAATCAGGTTTTGGTGAACATTTCGTTCACTGGTTTGCTAGTTAAATAAAACAAGTTTCAACGGTATCAACATCAGCCTATTAATGTCCGCACTGCTGGGGCACAGGTCTTCCCTATGGATGGATAAGAGCCACCACGCGGACCCAGTGCGGATTTTCGGGTGCTAACTCCAGATGCAGATGCAGCCGGGGCCAACGGCTTAACGTGCCTTCCGAAGCATGGAGGAACTTGAGATAGAAAATTTTTGGTCACCCATCCAATGACCGACCACTGCGAAAGTTGCTTAACTTCAACGATCGCGCTAACCATTTACGTCATTGAGCTCTTATTTTCATAAAGCCGGATTCGAAATTAATTAACTGTCACATTTTCCCACTACCCCTAAAGGGGTTTGGAGGGTGCCGAAGTTTTTATATGGATGAAGTTAAACGCGCATTTAGATTAACTCAAACTCAGTATTTACACTTGGGACCTGAAATAAAGAATAGCATACTAGGGTTCTTTGTAACTCTACCCCTAACGGGGTGAAGGTAGTAGTTCCTCATATTTTACTGTGGGGCTAGATTAAATCGGAACACAGCTAAACGACTTTGGATAACAATTAGCACACATATAGTTTATAACCTGGGTTGAGGAAAAGGATAATTTTTATCCCGACTCGAATGCTAGTTTCTTGAGGGATTCACAAAAATAAATATTTAGTCGCTAGTGTTATTATGTGATTCATAATCACCATCATGGCATCTTAAGAGAAGTCTATTATATAATTTTAATATAAATTACCTCTCGTAGCTATTGTTGGGCGTGTGACAGCCCCATGAAACGTCGTCGTTGCCATCCTTGAGTTCGGCCAGCTTGCTCACTATCTCGGGGAATAGCGGCCTCGCCTTCGGTTCAAACTGTCGAGAGGATAATAATACCGATTTAACTGATAAATTACAAATAAATATTTCCACCCGTTAGCCTAATCCCAAAGTAAGCACTGTAAGGCTTGTGTTATGGGATACTAGGGTAACGGATAGAATACATATACTGTATTTATATAGAAATAAATATCAAACATCCATGAATAGAGTACAAATGCTCGTATTCATCACACAAACATCTGCTCCACCGGGATTCGAACCCGGGATCTCACGAGTCGGTGACACAATGAAACCCGGCGTACAAATCACCCGGCCACGGATTTTGATGGTTACCAAAAAAAATACCACTGGAGTCAAGAAGACATATCAGATACTCACGATACAGCAATTGAATGCGAGCTTGAGGAAGCCGGGCACGGTGTCCTCGTCGCATAGATCAACGAACGCCATGTAGTTGAGGCCGAAGTTGTCCGTACGTGGGAGAACGTCCGGATCGGCATCAACCTGGCATCAACATTATCATCAGCCTGTTAATGTGTGTCGGTGTCATTTAAAATGGCTTGTTTTCTTATTGTACAATCACTACCGCTCATAAATGTATGTGCCAAAATCCGTCTCGAAGGACCATATAAGAAAAAAATAATTAATTTTGAAAATAAAACTTAAAAGTTGTGTATGTGTTAGTCACATACACAACTTTTAAGTTTGTCACATATATTTTTGTATCATTGTGAATCAAAAAACCATAGACTATCACAGAGTTAGGATATCCCACGTATAACTAAAACGGAGCAACATAACATTCGCTTTTTCAACAGATGGCTCTAGCAGTGTAGCTCTCAATGATGGCTATATCAAATTGACGACAAGTACACACAACTACATTACATATACAGAGCTCGAACAATATCTTAGCTGAGTGGTCTCTTAGCCGCGATCCCCAGGCTAAGATCACTTCCGTCCATAATGCCTCTGCATTATGGACGGAATGGGGAGATTAAGCCTTGACCCAGCACGCCAACCCATCGCCTAAGGAAAGATGTGAAGGCTGCAGTTACTGTGCTCGAACTATTCCTCCACGAACAAAGAAATTTTGTAACTCATTTCTCTGTCGTATTATTCGTAAGTAGAATTCTTTGTCCGCACACGTGTTCCCTGCGTCCTACAATCTGCGCTCCTTTCAGAGAAACGTGAAGAAGCATTTCTGCAGGCCAGCAAGTAGAGAAGAGTTGGTGTAGCAGTTTGTAACTGCATCACCAGCAATCTTCGCGTCTGGACTTCCACACCACTTAACATCAGGTGGGGTAGTCATTTGCCTACCTAGATATAAAAAAAATGCAGAAAACGCGCTGTCAGTGAGCTTACCACCGTCAGACTGTTAGGTAGTTGACGCCTCGCTTAGCACGCGGTGTCCATTCGTTGACTGCTAGAAGGGCATTTTCGCGTAACTACCAAGCAATCCGTTGACAGTTAGTTGTCGGCGCATAGATAGCTTGGTGCCTGCTAGCTGTCGCCGCGTGGACTGCGAGCGGTCGCCTTGGTTTAGAGCGGTGTTGGAGCAGAATCATATAAATGAGCTAAGACCTTTAGCCTTGAACCATCACGGCCGCCCATTCAACGCCTAAGGAAAGCTGTGAAGGGAGCTATGCCTCACCGTGGCGATGAGTTGGCACACGATGATCCCGTTGGTATAGCTGCCTCTGATGATAGCCCCTAAACAAACAAGTCAAGGTAGCAGTGACTCACTCTGGTGATGAGTTAGCACAGGATGATCCCATAGGTATAGCTGCCGCTTATGATAGCCCCTAAACAAACAAGTCAAGGTAGCAGTGACTCACTAACCCTGGCGATGGATTGGCACAGGATGATCCCATAAGTATAGCTACCTCTTATGATAGCCTCTAAACAAACAAGACACGAGAGCAGTGGCTCACCCTGGCAATAAGTGGGCACAGGATGATGTCGTAGGTATAGCTGCCTCTGATGATAGCCCCTAAACAAATAAGTCGAGGGAGCAGTGTCTCACCCTGGTTATGTGTTGGCACAGGATGGTCCCGTAGATATAGCTGCCTCTGATGATAGCCTCTAAACAAACAAGGCACGAGAGCAATGGCTCACCCTGGCAATAAGTGGGCACAGGATGATATCGTAGGTATAGCTGCCTCTGATGATAGCCCCTAAACAAACAAGTCAAGGAAGCATTGCCTCACCCTGGCGATGAGTTGGCACAGGATGATTCCGTAGGAGAAGATGTCGGAGCGGTGGTCGTACCAGCGGCCGCGCAGGCACTCGGGCGACATCCACCATGGCGACCCCACCGACGGCAGCCGGTATCCCCTGCAACACAACGCCGTATATTCAGTACCGTATAATTGTTTATTCAGTAGGCTGTAAGGCTAGGCGCATATATACGATTCCTTTTCCGCTAACTTCACAGATGACATAAAGTTTGATTCGCTCTCTACAAGCACACATAATTGTCAAAAAAACTACGCCTTCGGTTTGCTGATCTACGGGGGTCACCTATCCTGGCGGTCGCGACTCTCGGATATATATACAAACAAGGCTTTCCTATGCAGGCGTCAGAGTCGCACAACCGTCGGTTTGTAGTTAAGTCAACCGCATCAAGGCGCCTTCCTCATTGGATCGTTTTGTTTCCGTTTATGTCGGTACATATCTGTACAGATTCGTTAGCGAGAACCACTACATGCCCGGCTCAGTTTCGGTGTGGTATCGTTGTTTGCTACGGTGTTTGTCATTTGTTACAATGCCGTCAATAGGCTAGTTGACTCATGTCAAATTGCACTATACAAATGTTTATTTCTTATAATGTTTGGTGTTAGGAACGTAAATACATCGATATCACAAAATTAGAAGATGGCTGTACTAATTTAATATGAAAAATGGTTTTTAATCTATGCTTTTTAAACACTAAAAACGCTGTCCATCATGTTTGTGACGTCAACAAATTAGTAAATGTGCTAATAAACAACTAAACATCATTATCGTGTTAGTGTGGTGTCTTTCATCGGACTAAAATATATCTAAAAACTCTTACATCTTGTAGAAAAATTTCCGTTTATTGGTTTTGTTGACTAAATTAATGCTGCACGCCGGATTTGTGAAAGCAGAAACGACAAAACTCTTTGTATTTTTAAACTTTAAATATTATTCAATGAGTACTCACATTAAAGTGATGTTTGCTAAAAGAAAAGACTTTCAGACGGTAAAATTACAGGATTAAGCAAGTTTTAAACATGACTGTGAGTTCATGTGTAGGTATGTGTATTTCTCTAGGCAATTTAAACCACAACTTTTCTGGAGTCTTTAACGATGTGTTTCGTATAATACAATCGTGATAATTATAATATTTATCATTAAATCTATTACAAATCATGGTTTTATAATATAAATTTAGATTCTGGTTATTTCCTACGTGCTTCTGAATGTTTGTTTACAATTTTGTTAACGTCATAACATAGATAAATCTATAGACTAAAATGGCCGACAGCGTTTTTGTATGTCCATGAAAAATCTATTTTTAAATTAAAGTTTTGTAGCTTTCTAGGTCCAAAAAAAATACAATACATTTTTATCGGTCTAATAGAACAATTATTAACCATTTAAAACATATTTCCAAAAAGTGTCAAGTAGCCTATTAAAGCGACAACTCGTTTACATCGTTTCATGTCGGGATAGTATTGTAATTTTGCGTTTTACGGTTTTTTATTCACCATAAGGTAGCATGTATAATGGATCCCGAATATATGTAAAGCTACAGCATGAGGTTACGACTCTAGAAAGATCTAACTCGAAATTATTCATCACAATATATTCAGTAAGAAGAAATTCTAAAAGGTCTTCACTTCCAAGTTATTCCTTTTTTGTAACCGTAAGATTCAATTCTTGAAATGAAACCTCGTTCATATCTTTAGTGATGCGACAAAAAGTTTGATGTTTACAAATGACCCACAGTGCTGCGGGTGGCACGCGAAATTGCGTGATATACTGTCGTCCCGCTCGCTCGCACTGCCCCTTTTTAACTTAATTACCTTGTTTATGAATATTAACCGTTTCTCACTGAGTGTGACAATATGCAATATCTTTGAAGATGCCGCTACCCGCTACCATATAAATTGCTGGCGTGCCTTGTATCGCTAATTGTGTTGTTTATTAATGGAAATTAGTTACCTATATTACCTGCATTCCTATTATTAACAACCGAATTTTAATTTATACTAATGGTTTCAGTAATTAGACGACATTTTTTCAAAGAAAAGGTTGAATAATCGCTATTATAACCATAGTTAACACAATTACAAAACTTATGACTCCAGAGTATATTTGAAACTCAGCAGTCAAATATTATTTAAAAGTGGAATCAAGTTATACAACAAAGTATTTGTTTGGTTAAAGTTTTTTTTAAAGTTCCCCTGTAGCATAATCACTGCCTTGATATTTTACTGTTTAATTTTTGTTATTACTTTAATTTTTGTGTGTTCAAAGAGTCTTTTTACTTAATACTTTCAGTAAATACGAATACACTTACACAGGATGAGGTATTTTAGCGGCGAGTCCGAAATCTGCCACCACCGCTGAGTAGCTGTCGTCCCCAATTTTTCTTAATAATACATTCTGAAATCAGAAAAATTACCACATTTAATGAAAATTCATATTAAATTAGGGTAAAGAAATTCCAATTCAATAAAAACGTTGGCACTTGATGAACAATTTAGGAGGAAGGAAAGCGATTTTGCGATCTTATTTAAACATGAAATAGGCCTACTTATAAACCTGCCACTTCGGGTTCCTATTATACATATATATCAGTGACGAGATAATGTTTGTGTAAGAAACATGTTAAATTGAGACGATTACTTACTTGACTTTACTAATATCCGTTAAACAAATGAGAATCGAATAACCAACAGCTTATTCTAGTACCTTATAAGGGTTCATTCGACGGTTTTTCGCCGAAGCTAAGCCCGATAAACCATCTCGTGGGCATGGATCGTAATAGTCGTGAAATTCTTTATCACCACTAATTTGGTGCAGTAAGAAGAGGTCGATCGAATTCCAATGTCACGCTAATGATAAAAAAACCCGCTTGGCTTTATTACGGATTCGTTCGATGCAACTTCGTAACGTAATCCGGACGAATAGCTGCTGATGTAACTGAGATAACAGAGCATATTTAAAAGAGTAAACAAACGCAACGACCGGAGAAAATGGCTGAGGACGAATAACTAGCCACAAAAACGTGAAGAAAGAATTTTAGACACATGGAACATCTATTGTTTTAATTACAAAAGATTTCTTAATGAAGTACAGAAGCATTGCCATTGCAATTAAATACAAGTATATAAATACATACATACAAGAATAACAAGAGGCGGCTACAAGATTTGTTTCGAGTAATAGAGGGAGAGAGAAGAGAGGGTATTATATATAGAGTCTATACAGGGTGGTCCAACTAGTGACTTCAACATTAATTTTTTAGATTCCTCGCACTTGGGGGTTTCCGAAAATACCCCATGTATGTTCCGCGATTTTTTTTAGTTTTCGAGTAGGTATTTTACGGTCTTTTTTTGTGACATAATTTTCTTGAATGTTGTTTTAATAAAAAAATACTCAACTTCCTGCAATTACTTAAAGTTACTCAAAAAAGGCTTGAAAGTTGGATCTTTAGGTTTTAGTAGGATTTACTCAAATGTTCAACTTCAATACAAAAAGGAGTTTCCATAGCTTCTGGCTAAAATTAAAAACTCCGCGTGCTTCTAAACTACCAAAAATCATAAAAAAATGTACTTAATCAGCTTATTTTTGTTGTAATTGGCTTTTGAAGGCGGATAGGCTAAAAATCATTAACACGATTAAAGCATTAGACATAATTTTATCTACTTTTTTTCATTGTTATGGTAAATTAAACCTAAAAATGTAATTTCAAATTAAATTTAATTGAAATTTGTGTAAAATAACTTTAGCATGTTGAATTTTATAATAATTTCGGTTTCACCACTATGATTTAAAATGTGAGCTGTATAATTTTGTGATAAAACTTTCTATATTATAAACTGTGCTAAAACCCTGCACTTGAAAATTACGTAGAGGTCGGTGCAGACCGCAGAGTATTAACGGATATTCAAAGTAGATTTCCGATAAAAAATCTATTTTCAGCTCGTCTTGGAGGGAGACGAGTTAGTATCTTTCAAATTATAGAGAGGTTTTGGAGTCAAACAACAAAAAAATTACTGTGCTTCCTGAGGTAAGGAAGGTTTTGAGAACTCTGGGGTATAGGGTACGTAATATAAAGGTAGTTGTGCGACAAATAAAGAAATATGTTTGTTTTCTTCGTAATTGGACTGAATTTACCTAATAAATAATAAATATTTCCAACACTCACACCAATTAGCCTAGCCCCAAAGTAAGCACTGTACGCTTGTGTTATGGGAGTAGGGTTACGGAGAAGTTGAATGAAGAGAGGTTAGAATATATATACTGTACATATATAAGTATATTTCCATAGAAATAAATATTAAACATCCATGACTGGAGTACAAATGCTCGTATTCATCACACAAACATCTGCCCCCACCGGGATTCGAACCCGGGACTTCTCGAGTCGGTGACACCACAACCCGGCGTACAAACCACTCGGCTACGGAGGTCGTCAATAACAGGTGGGTTGGATATACCTACTACCTTGGTAGGGTTTTCCATAAAATCAATTAAAAGCTGTCATGGCATCACTCAAACAGTTATGATATAAAACAAGCTGCTTCACTTTATTTTTTTATTGATATAAAAAAACATGTTTAAAATTTAATTTGTTGTAACTTAGCTTAAGTTACTCGTGTCATGGAAGCAGAAAGGTGATACTACCGAAAATTCGCAACGGTACAAGATTCGAGGATAAATATAGATTTACATTTGACAGAATCGATAACAGACAGGTGAAGTGGCAGCTTAGCAGGACAGCAGCGAAAATGCATCTAGTTATACACCCCGGCAATATACTTGAGCATCGATCATAGACAAGGAAGCTTGCGCAGAAGCAAGTTTGGATACGGAAACGACTACTGTACAAGTTTATTTAATACTAGTGGCCCGCCCTGGCTTCGCTTCGTTGTAGAGCTGAAGTCTAGACTATAGTTATTGTCTCAGGCCTGTATTATACACAATGACATTCTTCTTATACCTACCGCCGCCGCGACCCGTGTCGAGCGCGGCAACCGTTACACAAAAATAATCCTTATAGCATGATTCAGTATTCACGTGCGACGGCGCGATGGTTTATTTCATGTATAAGTTTGGTGTTTCTATACCGATTTCTATGATTCTTTTTTTATTGAATAGGTAATAATGTTAACTTTTTTAAATTAGGGATGAGTAAGAGTATTATAAACGTAAGAGTAAACAAATATAATCAGAATACTCCGAACTGCTAAGCTATCAGGAGTTACACGTGTTATTGTAAGTCAACCATAAAAATTAGACATATGCTGTTGCAGAATTTTTTTTTAGAAAATTCTATGTAGAATATTTTCGTCATACATGATTTCTATGTAACTTTAACCATTAAGGCTGCACACGCAACGGAAGCTAAAAAAATGGAGTAAATTCTCCCGTTTTCCCAACATTTCCCTTCACTACTCTGCTCCTATTGACTGTAGCGTGATGAAAAGTATACTATAACCTGCCCAGGACTATGAAGAATAATTGTACCAAGTTTCGTTAAAATCCGTCGAGTAGTTTTTGTTTCTATAAGGAACATACACACAGACAGACAGACAGACAGACAAAAATTTTACTGATTGCATTTTTGGCATCAGTATCGATCACTAATCACCCCCTGATAGTTATTTTGAAAATATATTTCATGTACAGAATTGACCTCTCTACAGATTTATTATAAGTATAGATTTAATTTATATTTACCCCCTTATCATAAACGAAGACTACGCTTGGATTAGTAACTCCATGTTTTGTCTTTGTCTATTGAATGACAAATGGCATTTGAGTGTCATGAACAAATCACGGCGTAACTATTCTAAGCTTATTCCTTATCTATACATATAATAAAATTGTAGGAAAGTCAAAACTGTACATTGAATATTTTTTTAAAAGAATACTTGGGGCGTGTACTACAATCGATACCGAAGCCAAAAATATAGTTTTTAGAATTTTTGTCTGTTTGTATGTCCGGGATAAACTCAAAAAGTACTGCATGGATTTACTTCAAATTTGGCACGAATATTATTAAGAAATCGTGTTGACCCGATTATGATTCTAGACATTTATTTGAGACTACGCAAATTGTATTGGACTTACATCTATACATATAATAAAATGGTAGGAAAGTCAAAACTGTAAATTTTATTATTTTTTTGAAAGAATACTTGGGATGTGATCTACTATCGATACCGAAGCTGTTTGTCTGTGTGTATGGGATAAACTCAAAAAGTACTGCATGAATTTACTTCAAATTTGGCACGAATATTGAGCAGTGAACCTCTATTTCTAACTAACTCCACGCGTACGAAGTCGCGGGCGGCCGCTAGTTTATTAATAAGGGGGCTACTGTTCAAGTTTCTTAGTCTGTGTTTTTGCTCAAGAAAATTGCCGGCACCTTTACCTTAGCAGTGAGGTCCCTATGGAAGACTCCCAGCGCGTGCAGGTACTTGAGGCCGGCGGCTATGTCTGCCGCCAGCGAAATCCTCAGCTGCTGCGGCAGAGGCTGAGGGGGCCGGCCGAGGATCAGCTGCTCCAGCGACCCGCCCTCCATGTACTCCGTGAGCGCGTGCAGTTGACCCTCGTGCACGCACACGCCCATGAACCTGAACACAGAACACCAATACTATCACTATCTATATGTATAAAACTCAAAGGTGACTGACATAGTGATCTATCAACGCACAGCCCAAACCACTGGACGGATCGGGCTGAAATTTAGCATGCAGGTAGATGTTATGACGTAGGCATCCGATAAGAAAGGATTTTGATCAATTCTACCCCGAAGCGAAGCGAGGGCGGGCCACTAGTTATTGATAAGGACATTTTATGTTAATTAAGTTGCTACTTCTGTGAATGTGAAATGATGATGTATTTATTGCGCGCATTCTTCATATCAGCCAAACGATAATCATAATCATAATCAAACTAGAATATTTGACAATTTTAATAAAATATAGTTTCATCCTTGCAACTGAACAACGATTCATTCCTAGAATGATACGCGAGGCTATCGCGAGATTAAAAAACATCAAATTTTAAAATAGAGAGATCCACCAACTTGGGAGCCCATTATTCAATAGATAAGTTCCTTCCCCGAACACCCACTACAAGATCAACGGATACTATTTGTTCTTTTTACTTACATGATTCAACATAAGAGGGAGACGAAAAGCTTCTTTGAGTTTTTCGCCAGTTATTCTCGGAAAGTTCTCCCAATTTGGAACTGGGGGCCATTCGCCTAACGGAAATGCTTTGGAAAACGCTAACGCTTACGATTTCATTTGTTATTTCTAGCCGCCTGAGGTTTTTAAATGCTTCGCGCTCTTTTTTTTTCTTTTGCATTGGTAATAACAATATTAAAAAAAAATGAGCGTGAGGTATTTGAAAACATTCGGCGGTCAGAAATAACAAAATAAAATCGAATGCGTTAGCGTTTTCCTAAGCATTTCCTTTAGGCGAATGGCCCCCTGGTGGTAGTTTACGGTAGTTAGGGTCAAATAAATTAAACACAAAAATCAAACAAAGTAGTTCATTGTTCAAAAATTACTTAATAAATTAATTAGTCATACAAAGACAATCAACATTTTCAATAATCTTGTTATTAAGATCTGAAAATCCAATTAAAGATTTTCGAATGAATGTTGCTCTACAAAATTATTTAAAATCTTTCTCTTGAGAACGGAGCCTGTAAGGGAACCGAAATGTAAAAAGTGATTTATTTTATGAGTAGTTGCGTGAAAGCATAGGAAATAAATAGTTTCATTCGGTCATATCTTCCGCTCTGGGACAAAGGCTTGGAACCACACAGCGAGAATGGCATGAGATATATCAATCAGCGATGGTACTGTGCGGATTGGTGGGTGCTAGACACTATAAATACAGTAGGTGCCAATTGTTAACGTGCTTTCTGAAGACTTTGGAAATGTAGCATGTTCTTAAGTTCATCTTTAAATCGCTATCAGTCTACGATGAGAGACTTATCTCTTCTAAATATTGAATATTTAGCATAATTAGTAGTAACGTCAGAGAACAAGACAAATTAGAAAATTAATTACCTAATACAAAAATACATGCGTCATTGTTGCATGGTTCATGTACTGACTAATAGTAAATATTGACTTGTTATATTTATTTATTATTGATGATGATTATTTAATTTAATGTTAATTGATTGTTTGTTTTTTAGTTTTTTTTAATGGGTGATATGGGCTGCTGTTGTCCGAAATAAATAACTTTCATTCTATTTTAAAAGTGCAAACGTTAGCAGACGAAATTGTTACCACCGACAAGATTATCATGCAACAATGTAGTTTAAAACAAAGACTGAGACTCGTTTATATCTTGATAAGTTATTGTACACGGAAACTAAACTTTCTGGGCGTATTGCCAGAAGCAGCAACTGATAAGTAGGTAAATGAAAACTTAACAAATGTTAGTTCATGTGTTGCTTTCGTTATCACCCAACCATATCTTCAAATTTAAAGTATGTATCTTTAAACTTAATCGGAAACTACATAGTATATTGCATTTTTACATGTACAGTAAGGTATTACAATGAAAAAACTAATATTCATGTTAATTTAAACTTTATTGTAATTTCAAAAGATGTCAACGGAGATTGGAACGAGTTAGTTAAATGCATTACTATCAGTCATTTGTTTCAATCTTACATGGAACCAACAACAGAGCTGGTGCGGCTTGTGAAGCGGTTGAAAAAGCAAGCAAATACAGGGGTCTAGGCTCCGAATATGATTTTGTCCCATTCGGTGTCGAGACCCTTGGTCCGTGGGGTCCTAGCGCTTTAAGGCTATTTAAGGAAATAGCAAAAAGGTTAGTCGACATCACAGGAGACCGAAGAGCTGGCAGCCACCTCGGACAAAGAATTAGTCTAGCCATTCAAAGGGGTAACGCTGCCAGTATCTTCGGATCCTTGCCTAAAGGGACTCTTTTTAATAATATATTTTTGTTATTAACTTTATTTTTTAAGGTTTTTAGTTTTATTGTTCTAGTATATATATATATATATATATATATATATATATATATATATATATATATATATATATTTACATCTTCTAAGACTTCTTGCATCTTTACAAACTGCCACCCTGCGGCGTCCACTGTACTCGACGCGATTTTGAATGTTTTAAATGCGTATTTAAGTAGCTATTAATATTATAATACCTTGAGTCTACGCGAAATTGCAATAAAATATAAAATGCCAATATTCGATTTTAATATTTCCCGGTAATTTGGCGCATCCGTTCACCACCGTAACCATACAGCACACTGAATATTTACGTATACCTTCTATGCACTGCTTAAATGCTCCTACCTCCGTCCAAACTTATGTTTAAATTGATTCTGCATAATACGATTTATTTCTACAAAGTTACGTCCCTCAAATTTAAAAAGAGATATGTTAGTTCCGGATACTGTAGGTACTGTATATCAATAATATTCATCCTGCTAGTCCACCGGCTTCCAGGTACACCAGCACTCTTCTCTTTGGAGTAGTACATACCTATGTAGTACCTGTAGGTACTATAGAGTTCTACCCAGAATGGATAGAACCTGGGGACGTGACTCTTCAGTAAAACAACTAGACGATGGTTATTATTTTATATTATCATTCAGGCGATTATAAAGAATTTTTATCTAAATACGAGAGGAAGTTCTTGGTGCCTGAAGATCTAATCTTGAATGGAACCTTCTATCAAAAGACAGACGATTCCTCATTTCAAATCTTAAAATCATGACATTATCTTTTTAATATAACTGCCAACCGTAGGCATTGCAAAAGCAAAGAGTTTACCTAAACAAGGAGGCTGTAACGTTTCGGACGTCACAGTACCTACAATTACTTATTTATGTTCAAAGCTTGATCGTTATTTTTGAGTTTTACACAGATCAGTCGGGTAGACAGGGAAGTTCTTTTTTTATTATATTTTAAAGTTTACATTGGTCCGTACCTTTTTGTCTTTATATTTTTATTTATTAAAGTCATGATCATATTTAAGATAACTTTTTTAGCTCGGCTGGTCTGGAATTTCAAGAGTACCGGTGGGATTCGAGCTTGGTTGTCCTTTGACCCTGTAATTTACGGGCCCAACGACCATATAGTCGTACTCTGTGTACATCGTCGACAACGGAGTCGAAGGGATCCACCAAGGATAACTTAGAATACTGTCTGTTCCGGTGTCTTGCCTGATGCTGGTACTGCCAAGAGATGTCCTATGGCGATCTGTAAGGTTTTTAGTGGGTAGGCTTATGATCAGACACTAAGATTGGCCGCAAGTCTAGGTGTATTATTCATTTTCGCAATGTAAAAGTTAGTCAGGTTAATGTGGGTATCCATAATAAATCCTTGTATAAAGGTAATCTGAAAGCAATACAAGCCACCCAGCCTTGTTGTACCTAGGAAAGATAATAATAGTTAGACAATAAGAAAAGTTGGTGTAAATAGATTAATTCGAAGTAGGTAGGCTCGAAACTCAAGCTCGAAATAAAGAATAAAAATATGTAATGGAAAAAGACTTCATGAATTATCTCTGTCCTCATTTTTTAATTTGATGACTCTGAAACCTACAGGGTAAAAAAACAAGCTCTTGCTGAGTTTCTTGCCGCTTCTTAGTACAAGGCCCCCCGCCGTAGATTTGTATGGGGTACGTACACAAGTGCCTGAAAGCCTGAACTGAATAAAAGATCTCTGCAAAACATTTTCATGGAAAATGTTGCCAAGACGGGATCATGTATCACTCGTACGACAAAAAGTTATCAGATCGCAAGTACAGAAATGCTTCTATCGGGAAAACAAATCTTCCTAATTTGCCAGGACTCTTCGCGACACCGCCCGCTCATTTTCACGTCTCTTTTTCAATTCCACCATGGCAGCCTCTAAAACAACTAAGTATAGCGGTGCATACCCCCAGGCAACATACGCGGACTCCACTCTAACCTCAACGCTGTCCACCACTATCTTGAAAGAGCACGCCCAGCATTGTTGACGGAGACACAAATACTTCTGCCTGCTGACACAGGCTACCTTAACTATCCCGGCTACGTGTTTAAAGAGTCCTTCAAAGCGAAAGCCGGTGTATGCCTGTATGTTCGGGCGAATGTTTGTTGTCGCCGTCTCCGCTGCTTGGAAGATCACTCCTACTCCATGCTGGTGGTACACGTCGACTCTGGTCCCCAGGCCAAAATCTACGTGTGCCTCTACAGATCCCATACTCGCGATATTGAGACAACACGACTTTTCCAACACCTTAGTCGGGCAGCAGATGACGCGCAAGAACAATTTCCCAAAGCAGAATTGGTATTTTTGGGGGAATTTAATGCTTACCACAATTTTAAGTTGTGGTTAAGTTCCTCGAAAACCAACCATGCAGGGCTCTGCTCACGCATGACTTGAAGCAACTGGTCGATCAGCCCACCAGGATTCCAGATATTTCAAGTCAATCACCTTTATTACTGGACCTTCTGCTCACGACCCATCCACAGAGCTGTCAGGTTGTGGTAAGCGGTCTCTGGGCTCTTCGAATCACTGCCCGTTATCTACCAAAGCGCCACAGGCCAAGCCTGCGCGTCCAACGGTGGTACA